TGGCTGCATGTAGGAAAGTGCACCCGTGTCATGCAATGCCCTCAGAAGTCAGAAGAGGCTGTCGGATCCCCTGGGATTGGAGTTACAGACAGTTGTTAGCTGCCATGTGGGTGCTGGGATTCAAACCCGGGTCTTCTGCAAGAACAACCAGTGCTCTTAACCGCTGAGCCGTCTCTCCAGCCCCAAATTCAATTATTTTAAGAGAATGCCATGCATACTGAAGTACTTAAGAGTAAAGTGCTATATCTGCAATCAACCTCAAAAGATTCAGTAAAAAAAATCACAATTATTATCATATCTATATTAAAAGAGAGATTAAAGCAAATGAGGTAAATGTTAAGAATTAAAAGAAAACAAGTGAAAGGTATGTGTATATTCATTATTCTTGCAATTTCTCTGAAGGATTTAATTCAAAATATGCACGTTTTTTAACACTGGCCACAGTGGAGCACCTTTAATCCCAGCCCTCAGGAGGCAGAGGCAGATGGATCTCCGTGAGATCTAGGCCATCCTGGTCTACATAGTGAGTTCCTGGTGGGTTGGGACTAGGGAGACCATGTCAAAAAAAAAAAGAACAAAAAACAACGAAAAAGACCAAAAACAAAACAAAACAAAGAAATATATATATAATATGCACACTTTTAAAAAGAGAAAGGAGGCTGGAGAGATGGCTCAACGGTTGAGAGCACTGGCTGCTCTTGCAGAGGACCTGGGTTCAATTCCTGGCACCCACATGAAAGCTAACAACCATCTGTGACTCCAGTTCCAGGGGATCCAACACCCTCTTCTGACTGCTGCAGGCATTGCATAATATGAGTGCACTTACATACATGCAGGCAAAACACTCATATACATAAAATTAAATAAATAAATAAATAAATAAATAATAAAAAGAGGCTAGGTGTAGTGGTGCACCCCTTTAATCCCAGCACTCCTGAGACATAGGCAGGTGCCGCTCTATGAGGTCGAGGCCAGCCTAGTCTACATAGCAAATTCCAGGCCAGCCAGGACCACATAGAGAGACCCTGTGGGGGGAGAG